GATGGCAGAAAAATGAATAATGTAGTGAGTCTAGCATTTGTTATTTTTGAAGACCAACCTGAGGTTCGCTATTTTAAGCGCCATATTTGAAATGAATGTGTAGTTTTTCAAACAGAACTTATCTATATTTATCTTTTCATCAAGTGGATCAAGGATACTGCATCCTCTATAAATTTTGATTCTGTTTCTTTTCTCTACTTTTTGAACAGTATCACTAAGAATACTTGATTATTTGAATAGTATTACTAGGAGAGTTTCAATCAACAAACTGCTGTTTTTGAAAGTTTGTTGTTTGTTGGTTGAAACTCTCTTAGGTGTTTACTTAGAAATAGGGAAAATGATATTCATTTTGCTTGTGTGCGTGTTCATCATGGAATTTGTGGAAATAAAAGAGCTGATTTCTCATTCAAAGGTGCTTTAAATTTACCTATCGCCAACAATATTAATTTACAAAGAGTTATTAAAGTCCTTTTATTATAAAAAGCTTTTATATAAGGGGAATGAAAATAATATTCCACCTTGTAATGTCGGGTGCTTTCCTTCTATTAGCCATAAACTGCACTCCAAGTCTTTCTACTTTACTAATTTTAAAATATCTCAGTTTTTATATGGTCATGGTAAATTTGCAAATTACCTGCTTTGCTTTAATCTAAAATCTGAAAAAAGTACCTCAGGATGTGTAATATGTAATTTTGTTCTTTTCCTGCACTGGCCCTAGATTATGCATGCAGAACAATTTAAAAAAGTGTAGTGTGACTTGGCCAGAGAACTTATCTGCTTTTGTGAAATCTGTATTGCTGTTGTTTTATGTTCTCTTGTCTCATTAAATATTACATGCATTATTAAAACATTAAATATTATATGCTGTCTCTCGCATGTAATATTTAATGTTTTAATTAAGTTACTTTTGTAAGCCTGTGTTGCACAGTTGTGGTGCTTAAGGAGATTGTACGTGTTAAAGGGGGGGAGGAAGTATCATCTCCTTCATTTTCAGAACGAGGCTGTTTGTATGATGAAGTGAAAATTTCTTGTGTTAGTTCAACAATGATAACAAGACAGTTTAGAATTCCAAAGTCCAAACCAGTGTTTCTAATTTTTAGATTTTGTCAATTAGATGACTTCAAGTTATTTTTATCGTGCACAAGTAAAAACATTCATTAAAAATAAGAAGGGGGAAAAAAGGCAGCAATTTGCGTTTAAGTAAATACATATATATATATATATAAGATAAGGTAAAACAAAATACAATACAAAGTCCGAGATCCGGACGTTGAATATACGGAATGATCTAAAATACGGACCTCAAAGCCACCAACAACTTTTTTTTAGCCCAAAGGGCATTAGCCCAGAAGGGCTTAGTTTCGTTTTGGCATTTTGCACTGATTCACTATAAATGGTGAACCACTTTTTAAATTGTTGCTACCAAATATTAGAGCACTGTATTATACTTAAAGAAATTTAATAATGAAGAATCTGCACAAATGTATGTATGTTTCTCACATTAGGATAAAACAGTGATACTTAGAGCCATCAAATTTTGAATAACATATGTCTCCACCCGAATATGAGCATCTGGAAGCTTAAATTTGGAATCTGTTTTATTATCTACTTCATATGGTGTAAAACATTTATGAATTTTTTATTACGAAACTCAACGATTTTAAAGTGAGCAATGGCAACACTGTACAAAAAAAAACCCCATTTATTTCCAGCGTGCGAGACTGTGTGTTGGAAATTCTAAAGATATGTTCTTTTAAATATTTTATGATATCCAGGGCTGTGGAGTCAGATTCATGGAGTCGGAATCTAAGTCTGGCAGGTTTTGGGGTAAAAGGAGTCAGAGCTGGACTCACTAAAAACAGTTCGGCTCCGACTCCAGTTTTTGTTGGACAGTTTGAGTTTGAAATGAAATTTAAATGAATTGAAAAAAATTAATGACAAGCTGAGATATTATTTTTATTTATGGACTACATACATTAATAAATAATTATTTTCTATTTCATTGCCATATTAATAAATAAATATAAGGGAGGAGGATGGATGTGATATGTTCCATTACTGATTAAACTGGTTCATTTAGTTACAAATCTCACTGGCAAATTTAGGGAAGCAGCAACAGCAGCAAGAACTCCCAAAATTGATGCCATTCTGAGGAAGTGAGCAGGAAAAGGAGCAATTATTGATCAAGCAATGCGATAAGGAAGTACATATTTGATGATAAAGAGGTTTTTAGAATTAAGAACTTTTTTAGAAGATGTAGATAACCCTAATGTTTCACTAACAGAAAGACTGGGAAATGATCTTGCAGAATTGGAAACTCTTCTTTCTACACCGTATATAGCCACAAAAAAGCTACAATCTGAAGAATTGACAGGAGGCGAGATTAGAAGAATGGGGTGTTTGTTCTTTCTGAGGGTTTATTGCAGAAGGAATCATTTGTTCAACGAAGAAAAGAGAAACTAGTTTGCTAGACAATGAGATCTTGCTGGGTTCAATATATGTAGATTCGAAACACCCAGTTTTCTTGGATGACAAACAAATTAAAAAGGCAAAGATAGCCATCTATGAACTTTCATTAAAAATAAAATTATTCTCGGAACAATTGGAGAATTCGATTCAGGAGAGTCAAACTGCAGACATTGCAATTGAGTCTCTCTCATTTTCTTCCAGTGATGAATTAGATTTTGAGATATGTTTTTGGATAATATTGAAAAGGCTAAGGCAAAGCGAATGAAAATAAAGACCCAAGAGCCTTTAGATATAAAAATGATAAAATACAAAAAAGATTTCTACACAGCCTTTGAAGAAATAGAGAAATATGATTGTGCTTGCAAGACACCTCTTTTAGAACTTACAAAAGTCTATCCTGAAAAGTTAAAAGAAGTAGCCTTAACAGGAACAGCTCTTCTTCCTACTCAAGTCAGTGTGGCTAGACTCTTCTCAGCTCTGAAGTTTATCAAATCGGATCTATGGCACTTCAACAAGGATCTTGCCGAAGCTATACTGTTTCTTAGAAATAACTAATGTCAGCTTTTCCATTTCATAATAAATGCTAACTAATATAAATCATTTGCTATACCGTCAATTCTTTTCCTGTAGCATCTATTACTTCTTTTATATTAAAAAAATAAGCTGTAACCCATGTGTATATATTTACACAATTATATATATCAGAGAGTCAGAGTCATTAAAATTCCAGGAGTCAGAATTGGTCATTTTCCCTACCGACACCAGATCTCTGGATATTGCTGTTGAATTGAATTTTATGGTTTAAGTGCGAAGAACATGATATTTAATAAAGAATGGTAATGCACAAAACGTAAAAAAAAAAAAAAAAAATGCTCCTTTGGGCATCCCATAAAATTTGAAAGCCTTCAGGTTTTTTTTAAATTATCCCCCCCCCCGAATGCTTTACACATGTGCATTTGACCCCCCATAATAAAACATCTGGAGAGTCCCGATTCTTAATTTCTCTTTGGCACTAAATAAAATACCTTTTTATTGAAGAAATAACCTTTTTAGCATAAATTTGAGTGATCAGTAATTTAGCTCTGTAACTGTCTATCTGCGTACAATACATCCCAAACCGAAACATTCTACGTAGAAACGTTGTGAATTTTACACCTACTAATATTTTATATCCCTGACACTAACCTGGCGAATCATTATTTATTATATTTTGCTTTCATCAGTGCATGTTTGTCAACACATGACAACTTGAGTAATGACTCATGCACTGATGCTTAAGTTTTTTTTTTTTTTTTTATATTAGTAATTGAATAACTAATATAAAAAAAAACTTATGTTGGTAACCTTTTATGTTGACATTACACTTGGCAATGATTACAGATTTATGTTAAATGCACTAAGAAATGTTCACCAGGAAAAATTTAACAAAAATTTCTTTTCATACGTTAAAAATAGATTTTTTTAATGATATTCTTAGGCCAAAATATTACGTTTAATACTATTTGAATTAAGAATAACTGATTTGTTGTTCACATGAACTGTCGTCAGAGCTCGTATGGCTGCACCAGCCAGCAAAATGTAGACAAAATTTTTGGAATTTAGAGAAGCAAAAAGCAATAAAATTAAAGGATGACAAAATTTTTATAATTTAGGGAAAGCACTGGGACCCAAAATTTAAGGGTGGAAAATTTAGAACTTGGGAGGCAGTTGGCTGCAGAATTTAAGACCCTTAGAGGCGGTAAGATATCTAGCACCACCTCTCCATAAGCTTAAGTATATGTGAGAATTTATTTATTCCTGACTCGGATAAGCCTTAAGCATGTACAAGAAACAGACATAAGTATCATAAATACCTAAACAAATACAATTCAGGCTTGATTGTCTCAGTGTGCAATAGGAGCAAGACAAATTTAGCGGAACAACTTGTCTTTTATCTCCAATCTCATGCTTTAGATCATAAAAGCTTCATTTCACATTTTTAATTTTATAATTTCTACATGCCATCTTATTAGATTTAAACTGGTGTTCTAATACCCAGAAAAATCTGAAATCTGGGATCCCTGAGGTCCGGATCTCAGACTTTCTACTGTATAAAGAATTTGATTATAAGTAGCTAATAAAGAATGGACTGCAGTATTTTGAAAGCCAAAAATTATATGAATTTTATGTTGATATATAAGGCTGTACAAATAAAAGGAGTTCTAACCTTTTGTCAGGTAGACGTATTGCAAAAATTAAAATTTTGAGTACAGTATATCTACTAGATTTATATATTTATTTATTTAAGTTTAAAACGATGTGTAAGTATGCATTTTATTTAATCAGATTAGAATTTTACTTATAGCAATATACATGTATTACAGAACTTAAATATAAAAATGAACAAATCATAAAACTTAAACATAACTTGTCAATAAACAGGTACAATGAATTAAAATAGTATAATTTTTTTAAATTGGTCAGTCATCTTCATAATGTATTTTTACAGTAATAAGCTGAAAATTCTTAACTGATTTTCTTTGTTTTTCCAGTTCAAGACATAGTGTTTCAGATGAATCGATTGCTTTCAGCACTTTCTCAGTATAATGAAAACTGTTATCGCCTGATGCAAGAAACAAACGTCTTTCCAATAGAATTAGATTTGCCTCAAACTACATTCCAGTATTCAGATACAACATTAACTCCAACCTATCATGATGATGATGAAGAAGAAGAAGAGGAAGATTGTGAAGTTCTAGTCATAGGAGAAGAAGCATTGCAGGAAAATAAGTCCGATGATGATCTTTTACAAGATTTCTTGGGAGGAGAAACAATGTCAAAAGAATTAATGTCTCTGAATCTTTTAGATGAATAACAGTGCAAAGAATGTATTTTTATTTGGCCAGTCATAAAAATGTTATTGTCTTAATTGAGAAATTTATGCATAATAGCATTTCAAACACAGTGCTTGCACAATCCTTTTTTTTTTTTACTTTTTTTTTAATTCAAGAAATTTTTTTTCCCAAGGTGTCTCTAATACTGTGATAACACTTCATTTTGAGTTTTGTTATTATGAAAGAGAAATGATGTGTAAATGGATGCTATCTGCTTTTTATTGTTTGAAACTTTGTTTAACCAAATAATTTCCCAATATAATGGAAAATAATGATATAGGTTTTAGTGACCATGGAATGTAAAATTCTTTTCTTTTTACAGTTATAAATATTGGCTATTGCTGTGGTTAAATTAAAAAGAATTTTTCATGTTACGAAATCATTGATTCAGGAAGTTAATTGGACCTTAAAAAAAAATTCAATCTTAACTGTGATTCCTTATTTAGGACAATGAATCTATTAATTTTAAGATCTTGGCTTCCACTCACGTATTGATTAAATCATGCAAGTTTATATAACCCTTTAAAAATAGCTGGTGTTACCAAATCATTAAATGTAATATTTCCATGCTTAAAGAGTGTTTTAGTTTCTGTAATTTGAGAGACATTTTAAATGTTAAATATTAGTTTTTGTATTTTATATTTTTTATTATGTATAACATGATGTAAAAATTATACTTACTTGCACACATGATATTCACATTATTTACAATCATAAATTGTACCATGCTTAAAGATTGCCTGACCTGAACAAAAGAATCTCCAGTTGTTTAGAAGCAGAAGACTAATATTATTAATATAATAATTTACAAGCCAAATTAAAATAAGTTGAATGAACTATTTAAAGAAACAATCTTACTGAGCAGTGATAATCTTTATAGCTAGATGATAAAACTTTGAGTCTAAGATCAATTATTAACATATTTGAAACCAGATAATTAGACAAGGGGATAGGCATATTGTGCTTAAATACAAGACGATGAAGTGACCAAATATCTTGAATCATGGAATAGCTATAGATTTTAACGTAGTATGCTGCCTCCAGATAAATCCTAGAAAAATGTAGCAGATTCTGGAAATACTCCATAATTTTTGGGAATAGTCATTTTTGATACTACTGCGGCATATATGGATGTTAAGATATTTATGTGAAATCAGAAATGCTTTCTGTAATCAGATAATCATTTTAAAGAATCAGCAAAGTCCACAAAAGGAAGGTTTAGGAAACAATGTTTGGCTTCTCCTCTAGGTACTTAATAAAATAGATTGTAAATTTTAAGTGTGTATAAAATTTTGAATGAAATATCTTTGAAAAGAATTATGGAATGAAAAAAAAAAAACTTGAAGGAAAGGACGTGAAGGAACATTTGCAACATAATGTTTTGATGAATGGGAATCATTTTATGATAAATGAACAATCATGTTTCTTTCAGTTCTATAAAATTAATGATAAAGCTTTGCATACTCACCACCATCTAGATAGATAAGGTCAGAGTGTGAAATGAAATATATCATGTCTGTGATGTCATGGTTAAGCGACCTTTGAATATCACCCTTTGGAACTTGGGGATCAGAAAGTAGTATTTTCAAACTAAAGATTTCTTGTTCTTCTAGCAGTTGTTCATAATCTTTTGTCTGACATGGCATAGTATTCATAGATATTATATTTATGAGTAATAATAATTATATTTATGAAATTTCTTTCATGTTATTTATCTTATCAAATATTGAAGTATGGGCTTTTTTATTGCATATACATTTCTTATGCAGAATAAGCATAATGGTCATCATACCTGAATGCAAAGGGAAATAATGGCAGGAGTCTGAAATTTCCCTCTATAACAATTTTACAGTATTATAATTCAGTAAATCTTTAATTTTCCTGTCCTGTGCATATTTGAAACTTGTTAGCATAAGTTTCCAAATTGTAAATATTAGTTACTCTAAGTTCAATGACATTGCTAAGCACTTTTGTCAAAAATTAAAATTGGCATCCATTTTAAAATTAAATGAGAAAATAATCATTGAACAGGGTTGCCACGCTACCTGGAAAACCGGAAAAAGTCAGGGAATTCGGAAATTGACCAAAAAATTCAGGGAAAAGTCAGGGAATTTAAGTGTTTTAGTCAAAATCTGGAAAAGTCAGGGAATTTCATACAACGATCCCGCCAAAAAAGGCGAGTTTTGCGCCGACGTCGGAAGAGATCACTTTTTTGGCGAATTGTGTATCACGTGAGTGTCATTCGGGCAGCTGGCATAGAGCCAATTTTCGCATCTCCAATGTGATTGTCTTTTAGAAAGGCAAATCAAGTTTCCCGCAACTTTTGGTTTCCTCGAGAATCGCATGTGCAGTGCATGAACTAAAGAAAGTACCTGTTCTCGTATAAAACAAAATGGGTTTAATCCTAGTATACGGTACCATGAAGGTTAGAATCAAAAAATATGTATTGTAAAGAAAGAAAACCTCTCTGCAACAGACGTGGCTCCGTTCCATCATAGAGGGAAACAGCTGTGCGTGCGCGATATATATGTCGCCAAAGCTCGAAAGCGGTGTCGAAGTTCGAAGGTCACGTTATCAAGAATTCATAAAATGAATATCGTTTAAAATTTCTTTAAACTCTAATGTAAAGGAAAAGAAAATATCTTTTGGCGCAAGTAAATTAATTCATGGATTAGTTATTTTGAGGGAAAAAAAAAAAAAAAAAACTACGAAAATCCGTTTTTAAAATTATTGCGAAAAATCCAAGAAAAAAACGTTCTTTGATAAAACGTTTCTTCTTGGATTCTTCGCAATAATTTAAAAATGGATTTTCGTAGCTTTCTTTTTTGTCAAAGAACGTTTCTTCTTAACACGTGTTTCTCAATTTCCTGTACACATCGCGGAGAGGGAAATTCTGGCCGCCAGGTTCCGTCGCCAAATCCCTTAGCAAATTGTCCCTCCGCTTTCTAGCCGCGTAATAGCATTTACGTGTATGGAACCTTTTCTTCTTTACATAGACGTTCTTTGGTTAGAATAATCTCCATGTATGGTACAGTGGGATTTGGCGACATGATGATGAGCAGTAAACGAGTCATTTTGTTCTTGGCGGCAATTTTCAAAATCGTGCGAAGGCCGTACCGTATACTAGGATTTTACCGCAATTTTTTTTTTTTTTTTTCTTTATAATAAATACTTTGTCATTTTGCAGTAAAATAAAAAAATAGTAATCAGTCATCTAGGCTAACCATGTAATATAACTATATTCGCTAAAATATCGTTGATTATTCTAATTCAATTTTTAAGCAATTATCTTTATTTTTATGTTATTCATATCATTTAATGTTGTTTCTTCCCTCTAAATTTATTTATCATTAGTAAATAATATTTCCAAATTTCAAGAAATTTTCTCTGGCATAATCCTGAAATTAATTCTAGCAGTATGATATTTATTAGTGAAAATATTTATAAGTGGATGACATCCACTAATTGGAAATTTAATGCACATATTTTTTCCTTATTTATGCTGCGAAATAAATATAAAATACCTCAATTTAGTAAAAAAATATCATTAAATAGATTTCTTTCTTTCATTTAGCTGCAGAATGTCTGCAAAAAAAGCCTTATTTTATTCCAGATTGGGAAGATTCTAATCTCAATCTTCAGTGGAGAAAACAACTCCTATTATAATCAGAGTCGTAGCTAGGGTTTTCAGCGCCCAGGGACAACTGAAGATTCCGTGCCCCCTACTGCTTGCCAAGGATGGAAAACATTTAATTCTAAAATGTCGTAACATCAGTTTGGCGCGCTTGGATTCTGCGCCCGGGGACAGATGCCCCCTTGCCCCCCTCTAGCTACGCCCCTGATTATAATTATATTTGTGTTTTCAAGTGTTAAGGTGCCTTTCAAGAAGACACCTCACACAAATTAAATTTACCTAAAATCTAACCTAACTTTTAGCATTGCGTTGTGATTTATAAGAACCAGATTAGCCTCATGTTGAACTGGTGATGATCATGAGTAATAATTAAATAAAACGTACAATTGTTATCCAATGTATATATCTTACATTTTATTAAGTTTCTTAAGTGGAAAAGTAAACAAAATTATCAAACAAAGTGTACCAAGAATAATTAAGAATAAATGTCCTCTGAGATTTATTGAATAATTAAGTGAATTTCCTACACAGTACAAGTAATACCGTAATTAATTTACCTCTTAGCACAGCCAACGTACATTACGCGGATAGACTGGAATTTTCTCGAAACATACCTGGAAAACCTGGAAAAGTCAGGGAATTTCATTCTCCTGTTTGAGTGGCAACCCTGATTGAAGCATTGAATCAGGGTGTTCCCGAGCAGCAGAAAATGTTGCTCAGTGTGCAAAATTTAACAAGCCTAAATGATTGAATTGCCAGCACTAGGAAGCTTTTTCAAGTTCGTCTACCTCAGATTCACTGGAAGAAATGCGTAAAACACAAGCATTTTCAACTCCTAGGCAAAGTGTGCCATCAAATGTTTTCCAACCAAGGTTTTATCATCTGAGATATAGTTCTTCCAGACCATTTCCCAGTTATTAGTTTCCACAAACATCAAGAAATTTCCAACCACGGCAGCTATCTTATCCGTATTGATCATTTCCTTCTTTAACCTATGATAGTGAAAATTATTAAAAAAGTGTTCACAAAAAATTAGAATATTTTAAGGTAAATGTTCACTTTACTAATCTAGATATCCCTGCTATTCTTGATTCGAGGTCGCAGGTACATATAATATCTGAAAATCTTTCAAATTCTGTTGACACGCAAACTGAACTTCTTAACAATAGTCCTAATATAAAATTATATTGATTATCTGGAAGTCTTGTTGTGACTAAATTAATTAAATTTTTATGTAAAATTCGTAATATTATAGTATTTTATGCTGTGAATTCTAATTTAGCTTATGTATTATTATTATCATCTTGTGTTTCTTTATTTAAATTGCAATTAAATTTTAATAATTATGAAGTGTATCAATTTAAACACATGATAAGTAAAGAAATTCAATTAAATAAACTTTTCAGAATAATTTTGTATGTAAAAATAGTGTAAATACTAAATAATTTAAAACTTATGCTGAAAATAGTGAAATTGCTAATGATCAATTGCAAAAATGTTTAGGTAATTTTAATCATATATTTGCTAAAAACAAATATGATGTGTGTTGTATTAATATGAAACCTCGATGAGTAGTCTTAACTTCAGAATTGCCTGCAGCCTCTTGATCCTATAGAGCGTCTCCTAAGGATAATAGTGAATATAAAAAAGAAATAGATGAACTGTTAAATGCAGGAATAATTAAACACTCATTCAGCCCTTATACTGCAACTGTAGCTTTATCTT